TGTTAACCCACAGAAGTTGTTAAGCCTAATGTGCGGTGGTGCTAAAATTCTTAAGAAGCCCAATGGTTTTTGGAGATTTCGGCGTGCGCGCGCGAAGAAAAAACGAATGTGTCCCGCATGGTATTATTTGACAGGGATGATGGCCCTGGCAGGTGCGCAACCGTTGTCGCAGAAGTTCGAAAAAGTTGCTCGCAAAAGCCCGTTTGACAGAAATGTTTAAAAAGTGTTGGGTTTCCTACGAATCCGCAAGAGCGCGCGGGATGAGATTTTGACAATTTTTTTGTTGAAAAGCCATTGGTTTTTTGATGTTTTTATGTTAAAATCGCTGCGAACACTAAGGTTTTGGAAGGATTTCGTCTTGCGCGCGCGAATGTCCACTTTACCTTATTGTTTGCAAGGGATTCTTGAAACTTGATTATATTAGAACAAGAAATGACATTTTCTATTGTTTTTTGCAAGGGAAAGCGGATTACAACAAAACAACCGGATCCTGTACACACCCTCTTTTCTGAGGCTTCCTCACGAAAATGATGAAAATGTAGCTGCGGCCTAGGCGGCGCAGGGGGGGCGCGCACCAGGGGGCCCAACAATAATTATTCTTTAGAATAAATAATGTTCAACAACAACGACAACAATCATGTTACCCTCATGCGCGGTGTTTCCACACGAGGCATCCGACCATCATGATAACCATCCACATCATGGGGGACTCTTGTTCTATAGTTGGGTCCGTTATTCCCATTCCCAGGTCTCCCGCCCAATGAGGTCGCGCAAACACCTCCTCCGAGGAATTTCACCATATCCAGCCTCGGAAACACATGCCCGCGCCTTGCTGCGCCGATGCGAGACCGCCAGTGGAACCCCAGCGAAGGGCAAAGCACAAGGAATTATCAAACCACATGATTGCTTTGGTGGGGATGGATGGGGGCTGTCGGCGGTGAGGCAAGGACCTGGCCCTGAATAGAAAGGGAGGAGGCCTCGAGCAGGGCTGCTGTTGTTGCTAGGAGAGGCGCCAATGCTGAAGAGAGTAGGGCGCTAGTCCAGCGTAATGCTCATCCTCCTCCTCCTCCTCCTCCTCCTCCTCCTCCTTCTCCTTCTCCTCCTCCTCCCTCTCCCTCTCCCTCCATCCATCCCTCCCCTTCTCCCTCCTGCTCCTCCTCCCTCCCCCCTCCTCCCTCCCCCCCCATCCCCTCACCTCATCCTCAAAGGTAACGTTACCGCTCTCAAGGGCAGGATCAATCAGCATCGAACCGCGAAATCGTACCGGATCGGACGTGCGTCGGATCGGGCCACATGGGCACGGAGTGGAAATTGAATCGGATCGACCGCGCTAGGATGCAAAACAGCGCCATGCAAGCATCTGACCGCATCGGATACTGGGAATATCGGAATCAAATCGGATCGGGCCAAAATCGACATCGAATCGAAATGGAATGGACCCTGAAGGGAGAAGAGTCGAGCAGGAGCTAAAGGCGCAGGAACCCCGAAGAGCTTCCAAATGGCAACTACGGGCATGAGCGTCGAGTCCGCGCGAGGGAAGCAAGGGAGAGAGATGGAGCAGGAGGCCGGTGAGGAGGGAGAAGAGGAGGACCAGGAGGAGGAACAGGAGGAGGAACGATCGGCCTCCGGAGGCCCTCTTGCCTCTGAGCTCTGAGGAGAGCCATCGAAGAAGTGCGCAGGCAAGAAGAAGATAAGAAGACGATCTACGCAAACCCATCCAGCCTCGAGCACGTACGCTTTGGAGCGAGCGCCCAGATCGGCATCATGCGACATCGCCCGATATGTCTCCTCGATGTTGTCACGCCCGCCCATCTGGAGAAGGGAATCTCACAAATCCGCACAAGCAGCAATCTCTGCTCTCGTACTCGTGGATGTTGGATCTAAGGGTATATGCCTGGTGCGCCAAAATCCCTCAAGAGAATCCCAAGAAACCCAAGAGAGGGCCCTGAGGGTCCCAAAAGGTTCCCAAGAGTACCCCAAGAGGGCCCCAAGACTGCACAGAAAAGCCCCAAAAGGGGCCCCAGGAAGGCCTGGAAATGCAATGTTCACTGATTTTCGCAAGGCTTTTTGCCTGATCTTCGTATGTCGCACCAGAGCCTTGACAGCAGCAGGGCTCCAAGAAACCAAGCCAGCGACCTCGCACCCTCACAAGGTGCACGCGCTTTCCGTCCCCGTGCCGAGCAGGTGCGTCGGATGCGCCAGATGCCCTCCTCCTACATCTGAGCGAGCAACGACATGTGTACATGTACGCCCTCCGCGGTCTTGCGTGCACGAACCTCCACGTTCAAACGCAATTCGGCGAAAACAAGCCGCGTACATGTACATATGTTGTTGCCCTCTGAACATCCTATCCACTTCCAGCTCATAACCAGCGCCGCTCCCACGCCACACTCCCTCTCACGGCCGTCGAATGCACACTTTAAGATGACCCGCCGACCCTTCGGTGTATGAAGGACGCTGTCGTCGTCGTCCTTGTCGTCGTCGTCGTCTTCGTCGTTGTCCTCATCGTCGTCGTCGTCGTCGGAGTCGTCGTCGTCGTCAGTCAGTTCTGAAGAAACTGAGGAACGTAGAAAAACCACGTCGCAGTCAAGCCGAAGGGAAGCCCCCTCCTTTTATCCCTTCCCTGCCAGGGGGGGGGGGTCCCGGGTCACAGTACCGCACCCCTGGGGTCCCAGCAGGTCCCGCGGGGGAGTCGCCCGCGGGACTCGAGGAGGAGGAGGAGGGGGACCTGGCACCGGCCGCAAGGCCTTCGCAACTGGAAGTAGTGCGCATGGCCACCCCACCAGGCAGGTGATACATTGGGGCCTTGGGCCTCGGCCAACTCCACGGCTCGAGCGGAGGTGCCGTCGGGGAGGAAGCGGAGCAGGAGATGAGTACGTACATAAGTGGCGGAGATAGTTAGGAGATGAGTAAGCGCACGATGAGGTGGAAGTAACGGTGGAGGACGAAGAGGGCGAGACGCTGCAGGGGGAGGAGGAGAACCCAGACATCCGAGGGTGTAATTGTCTCTGTCCACGGGCCCATGACCTCACAGCCACTTCCCCCTGGGGCAATTCTTCGTCCTGGATCCATGCGTGCTGGTCCCAGGGTCCAACGATGGCCCCCTGATGCCGAAGTCGACGAAAAAATCAGTGGGAGTGACAAAAAATGCGCGGGATGCCTGGGGAAGAGGAGAAAGAGGACCCAGATCCCCGACGTCGTAACTTCTGTCGCAGCGCGGACCGCTGGAGGAGTCGGTCCCTTCCCCGGGACCTGCTTTCCATCCTGAATCGTTTTTGACTGCCACGTGACCCGGTGAGGGCCCCACAAACACATCCCGTCGCCAGGTCTGCCACGACGTGAGGGGAGGAGGACCATGCTGAGCCAGAGGGGCACGGGAACCCCGAAGAGCTCCCCCACGGCCACGATGCCGCTAAACTCGCTGACGATGGCGAACAGGCCTCGCCCCCCCTCCGCGCCGCAGCCGGAGCGGCAGGCCGTGCTGCGCGGTCGTGGGGGGGGGGCGAGGCGAGCAAGGCAGAAGTCACGCAAGACACCGGGCTGGGAAAAGCTCGGGCCGACGAGCTGGAGCCAGACTGCGCGATGCTGTACTGTCGGCGTCGCTCTGCGGGTAAAGGGTCGCGAGGAGGGGCAAGGGGGGAGGGGGAGGTGTTTCGCCATTTTCGGCCTCGGTCCAGCGACCGGTTTTTCGAGCAGATTCTGAGAAGAAGATGGGGTAAGGGGATTGACCGTGCAAATGTTGACGAAAGGAGGAGGTGGCGGAAGAGAAAGGACGTGGATCGCGTGCAAGTTCGAGCAAGTGTTTCTCGGAGCTCGGTCTCTGGAGCCTCAGCCGCATTGGGCCCCAGGTCCGCCGAAAAAGCGGGAGTGGGTGAAAACTTGGCAACAATGGACCCCAGGCGGGGTCCCAGGACTGAGTTCGAGCATATTTTGACAAGGGCGAGGGGGATTGATTGGGCGCATTGTATGGGAAGACAAAGATTGCAAAGAAACTGCCTACAATGGCCAAGCCATGCTCCGAGAAGGCCATGGGTGACAGCCCCCGCCCTTCCGCGCACCAGACACGAATGACTCCGCCAATCCCGTCGGATGGGGGAGAGAAGACGTGGGAGAGGAGAAGGGGGAAGGAAGGCCCTGGAACGCGTGGGTTCGAAGGGCGAGAAATCCCCCCCCCTTGTCTCAAGTCCACCCCCCTTCCTTGGGGGCCGCACCCGATCTGGCGAGGCTGTGTTTTCAGACGCTGTTTGATCGAGACGGGGTGGGCGAAGGTCGACTGCACGGCGACATCCCGCCTGGTGCGAGACTGGGGGGCGGGTCTCCCGGGCCCTCGCGGGGCACTGAATATTGATACGTTTGGGCCCTGGGGGCAACACGAGGTTGGGAAGCCTGATCGGGGAAGGGAAGCCCGATCGGGGCCGTCTAGGCTTGAAAAACACGTGTCCTCCCTGGGGCATGGGAGGCGGAGGAGACGGAGGAGGAGGAGGAGAGCAGACTAGAACTGCGGGTGGCAGGAATCAACCGTAGAAGGCATGGCGGCAATGGACACTGGGGCTACTGGACAATGGGGCTACTGGACAATGGAGAATGTCCCTCCGTAGCACATCGGCTACAGAAGGCCACCCGCAATGAAGCGCAAGGGCAGTCACCGCGAGACCTTAGCAGTGGACGCTCGGCACAACTCACCCATGGTTAGGGGGCCTCCACACGAACGGAATGCCATGAATCAGTGGGAACCCCGTCGGCTCGTTTGTGGTCAACTCGTACGTGAGATGAGCTCATCTGACCACGACTAGGGTTGCGGGTCGTAACGACACCCCACCGCCAGGAGAACCCGCGGACAGGCTCCGCACCCAGTGCGGCCAGCCGACGCTGCCCAACTGCCGGGAGCATTTGCTCGTGGGGGCCCAGCACAGACCGCGCATGGCGCGCGCTCACGCCGCGGCACTGGGCGCGCCTGCCAGCAAGTATGCACCCTAGCTCTGCATCGGGAACACTGCTGGCGTAGCCGATCGTCTTCGGCACTCTTTGGTGAGTAGGTGCCCGCGTGCGTCGCTGGTACTTGCGTCGCTTGCGCGGCTGCATAGCTGGGAAGCACCTGCGCGCCTTGTCGCGCGCGCGCCCCGATGCAGCTCGTGCGGCTGTTTGCGGCAGCGTGCCCCTGGTTGATGGCGTTCACCCAATCACAGCTGTCGACTGGCCCATGCGTCGGCCCGGTGATTGCCAACTGGCACCGACGCGACGCGCGTTAGATGGATGGGGCCAACAGTTGCGCACCGTCGCAGATACCTAATTTCGGCTGTTCGCAGCCGTCGCGTTGTCGGCAGCACAGCGCGGCCAACGTGCCAGGCCACCGCGACGTCTGCCCGCTGGTCTGCAAGGAAGCGCGGCTGGGGGCGCAGCACTGACCTCCGGGGGGGGGGGCAGGAGATGCTGCGGCCCCAAAGCCAAGCACGCGCACATAACACCTGTCGGGCGCCTGGCACGTAGCATCCGCAAGAACTTCGCGACGAAAACGCTCGCGCCGTCGCCCCCGTGGCACCGATCTCCTGCGAGACAAGACAGTCCTGGCAAATGCCGGAGAGGCTGGCCGGCCACTTATAACCAAAAAAACGGCACCTCGATGATGCTCGCGTCGAACGAGGTCTGCGATGAGAACGCGATCGGGCCACCCTCGCAGCGCTCGTCGCAGCTCAGTCGCCAAGCGCCTCACAGCTGGCACACTGGACTCAGACACGTTCAGGCCCATCCGCACGCGGCGGCGGCGGCGGCGTAGACGCACGCGCACTCATGCTGCACAGCGCGGTTAGGAAGACAGGTGAGATGCTGCACCATGTGAAAGCACGAGCACTTCCCGTCGATCTGCTGCAGGCGCGACGGGGCCCGCCCTGCTCGCAGCCGCGCGCGGGTAACTGGTTCGGCCAGCTGTCCCTGCCCAAGATGGAGTCGCGCGCAGCCAGAACGACCGCGGCGTTTTCCGTGACGCTGTCAAGCTGCCGACGGTGAGCCTGGTGGCTGAGGTCACATGCTCAGCCACTCTGGGCGTGACCTCGCCGGCAGTGCCCCAGCACAGACACAGCCGAACGCGTCGACGAGCTCGCGCGCAACTGTCCGTGCGAGGGTGCTGTCGCGATGTAGCACAGGCAGTGCGCAGGCGAACGTTGGCCAGCGCAGCGCCGCCCCCCAGTCACAGCTCCAGATGGGCGGCAATATCACATGACCGCCGTCGGCAAGTAATTCAGCGCCCAATCGGGGGGCCGACGCGGGGGCGACGGGCGAGGAGCACATGCAGGGTGACCTCCAACGCCGCGCACTGCCGCGCATTGGAGCTGCACTGGCGCGCCAGACCACTCCTCGGCATACGGATGTCTGCGACGCGGCCCATCCTTCACGAAGGGGCCCACGTCGGCAGCAGCACCAAGACGCATCGCCACCTGCATGTGCGACGCGGGCAGAGCGAGGCCCATGGGGCGACGCCTCCCGGTGAACTGTCGCACCGCGGAGCTGGCTTTCAGCTCCTCCGGGCCCGCGAGCGCCCGCGTCTGCGAGCGGCAACTTGAGGGTCGCGTGAAGCTACAATTCTGCGCCACGGCCGCAGAGGTGGTGTCATCCAAGATCTTCGCGTCGTCCGCGACGCCCTCCAGCTCCGCGCCCCGGCCGGCCACGACCGCTTCGCGGTCCGCTGCCACCTGCGCGCCCTCGCTCTCGGTGCTCTGCCAGGCGCCCGCGGTGAGGCATCGGTGGGCCGCTGCCCCAGCATCTCGAATCTCTGCTTCGCGATCGCTCAGGCCTCGTCCAGGGCCATCAGGCCCCCGCCAGCATTCTCTGCAGTGGCTGTGAGATCCGAGGGGCCCCCGCTCGCGAGGCCGGCGTCTCAGAACCCATCGCGCCCCCGCCTCTTCAGGGCCCAAGACGAACGCGGCGCTGCCATGGCAGGCCTGCATCACGCGAGCGGAGGCGAGCGCGGTGCCGCGAGCGCAGAGTGCAGCGCTGGCACCAGGGGCCGAGTGACAAAGCGCCTGGAATTCCGTCGGCCGCGATGCGCCGCCGCTGCCGCCGGCCCACGAGCGGACCGAGGTCGTCGACGTCAGCTCAGAGCACTCGGCAGCTGGGGGCGACACTGACGAGTTGCTCCTGTAGCTGCGACACTGGGCGCCCATGTGGTGCACGTGCTGAACTGCAATGGGAGCTCGGGTCCAGCGCCACGGCGGCGGCGCGCATCGCGTCGCCGATGACGATGTGTTCCTCTCCGCGTTAGGGGCGTCAGAGTTGTTGCGGCGCGGCGGCGAGCAGCGCTAGAACTGCGGTGCGCGCTGTTACAGGGGAGGTGAAGAGGTGGATGATTCCGAAGGTCGCCACAGAAGCAGCCAAGATCACCAGGTTGACCTTGCCAGTCGCGGACGCGTTTGGCCGCCGCGGCGCCCCGGCCGCGCGCCCAACCCTTCTATACTTGGAGCGACTCGCGACGGCGCGGAGGCCGACGTCGGTCTAATGGAGGCGGATTTGGACATGTCCAGATCCCGCGGGATCGCCCGGGCCGCGGAGCGCGCATAGGTCGTCGACTGTCCGCGAAGGGAGCGATGGCCACGTGGCGGCCGGCCGCCAACACGTCGGCATCCACGGCGAGGCGACGCGGGCAAGATGCACGACCGTTCATGCAAGGAGCCTCGCGACTCGGGCTCAGGCCGCGATTCGGGACGACTCCAGCGCCCCGGAATTTCCTCAGCCAGGCGACGGCCGGATGAGCGCGGGAGCCTGCCTGGAAGTCGGGCAGCTCCCTGACGCGCGCAGGGGCCTCCTCGGCCACGGCTACACAGCGCTGCTCGCGGGAGGTCGCACTGGCTCCGCGCAGGCAAGACCTGGGAGCGAGTGGTCGTTCGTGACTTCTCCCAGGAGTGGCAGCAAGTGCCCCCCAAGAGACGGGAGTGAGGCGGGGTCTACGGGCGAAGGGCGCGTTCCTCCTGGCTCACCCTCGGTGGACTGGCGGCGGTAAGTCAGGGTCGCGCGTTCAAGTACTCGCACTGCCTCAGTCATGCCATGATGAGGTTGGGCGAACCAGCGCTGCGCGCCAAGGCAGTCCTGCCCAGCGGCCGTCAGCGCTTGGCGCGGTCGTCCGACGTAGGCAACTCATACAGCTGGGGCTGATGAAGCTCGACCCCGTGCGCAATGGTCGCTCTTGGGCCAACGCTCTGAAGTTCGCGTCTGGCGTTCGATTGCGTTGACCGCGCGCGCGCAGGCGCACGAGCACACACTCGCGCCGAGCCAACACGATGACACATTCGCGCGTCCGCTGCGCGAGCCGTCCCTTGTCTGAGCGCCGGCTGGCTCGTGGAAGACGTGCCGACACACCGAGCGCTCAAGCAGCGCGGCGCTGGCGGGCGCGCGGTCGCGCTTGCGGCCTGGCGCTGGCGCGCACGCTGTGGAAGCGCTTCGGTTGGTGGCTTCGGTTCAGCCTTGAACGCTCCCGTGTTTGGCTTGAAAGCAGACGACGAGGTACACCGCGCAGTGCTGCAGGGTGCGGCACCGGTTGCAGTTGTCGTTGCTGCATTCGGTGTCGTGGTAAGTTTCGCATTGATCGTGCGTGTCGTCGACGCGCCGTCGATGTACTGGTCGCGATGGCACACGTCGCGCGGTGCCAGTGGTAGTTGTAGGACTCTTCGGAGAAGTCCCCCTTCCAGACTGGGCTACATCTGCCGGGGCTGCGCCGCATGATGGCACGCGCCCTTGCGGTGGAGTGGCCAGGGGTAGCATGGGAGAGGCGTTTCCCAAGCGAGGCAAGGCTTGGCGACCACTCTTTGGGGAACGTGGTCGCCCAGAGCTGGTTGCCCCAAACCGTGGTCGCTTGGGCGCTCTCGGGCAGGGGGCGTCGGAAACCTGCGCTGGGTGGCAGCACGGGCCCTGTTGCGGCGTCGTCGCTGGCAGCGGCTCCCAGGCAGCAGAGCCTGCCAAAGGGGCCTGCGCCATCGGGGGGGGGGCGCAAGAGCCCTGCGGTGGCGCGGCCGCTGGAAGCGCCTCCCGGGCAGGACGCGCCAGGAGCGCCCGACGACGGCACGGGCCCTGTCGCGGTGAAGCTGCCAGGCGAGGCGGGCCAAACAACCGGCACATACCCCGGACCTGTCAGCCTGACTCACGCAGGCCGCGAACGACTGGCGCGCCGACTCGAGCACAGCTAGCCGGCCCCATCGTCGGCGCTGCGGGCCCGCAGTCGATCGCACTCGGAGCTGGTGTGAAAAGCGAAGTGTAGACAGCAAAACGCAAGCAGCCCGCACCCTGCGCGCGCGCAGGGAGAGGAGAGGAGAGGAGAGGAGAGGAGAGGAGAGGAGAGGAGAGGAGGGAGAGGAGAAGGAGAGAGAGGAGAGTAGAGGAGAGGAGAGGAGAGGAGAGGAGAGGAGAGGAGAGGAGGCAGAGGAGAAGAGCGTGGAGAAGGAGGAGGAGAAAGGAGGATGAATTCGCTGGGGATCGCTGATATCCAGTCTGTGGAGAGAGAAAACACAAAAAAAACGGTTAATCAGGAACGAGAATGCGGAAAGGGAGGAGGAGAAGGAGGAGGAGGAGGAAGAAGAGGAGGATGACGAGGAGGAGGAGGGGAGAAGGAGAGGACAGGGAGGAGAAGGAGGAAGAGGAGAAGGGCCAGAGAAAGGCCACCATGTATCAACGATGCTGCATGACACCATCCCACCCCAAGTCCCCTCCTCAAGAGAGCCCTGGAAGCACCAGTTCTCGATAGGTGAAGCGCCCGTTTAAAGTCGAGCGCACCGTGGGCCAACCATTCGGGCAGGAGCTATGTTAGTCCCGCTTAGGTAAAAGACCACCCTCCGTCTGTGTAGATGTGGCACAACTTCAACTTGACGTCTGGCCCAAACGGTCCAAACATCTCACGGAATCTCAAGCGATATCCACATGTCGAAAAGGGAACGTCCTCCATCCGTGTCGCTGTCGTTGCATAGTGTCACAGACGTTGAAAGAAGAATCGAAGTGAGAACACCATTCTGAAAACGTGCCC